AAAAAAAAAAAAAAAAAAAAAAAAAAAATCAATCAATCAATTCACCAACTCATTTATTTGGGTATTAAGGAATCACAGGGGCTGGGGATTTAGCTCAGCGGCAAAAGCGCCTGCCTGACAAGCGCAAGGTCATGAGTTCGGTTCCCGGTACCGGAGAAAAACCAAAAAAAAAGGAATCACAGACCAGAACTCAAGGAGCCCCTATGGGCAACAAGAGCTTTTCTCTCCATCCTTTCCTGCCTGCTTCCCACTGCTCCAGGGACTTTCCCAGCACCTGAGCCTCAAAACGGCTGCCCTGTCCAAAGCCAGCCTCTCAGCCCCATCCTCTCCCTTCCTGCAGGACAGCAGTCTAAAATGCACCGGCTAGAGCCAGGCATGGTGGCGCACACGTGTAATCCCAGCACTCGGGAGGCTGAGGCAGGAGGATCATTGTGAGTTCGAGACCAGCCTGGGCTACAAAGTGAGCTCAAGGCCAGCCTGAACTGCATAGGGAGACCCTGTCTCAAAAAAAAGAGACAGAGAAAAAAAAAAACAAAAAGACTAAAATGCACCAGCTGAATAATAGACAGGGTCACAGTCTTCAGGTCTCCATCACGCTCTGAAAAGTCTAAGACTGGAGATGGGACAAGATTCTGCATCTTTCTTCATGCATTGCTTTGCCTGAGCCTTACCCAAGGCAGCTCTGGAAAAAAGTTCTGGACCTGGATTCACAAGACCAGGGTTCTAGCTCTGGGTCTGGAGCTGGCTGTGGTACCCAAGCACTGATCACTCTGCCTCTCTCCAAGCTGCAGGTTCCTCGTTCTATCTATAAAATGGAAAGAATGATGATCATGATGACCCTAATGGTCACTGTACAGGTTTTGGCTGAGGATTCAATCATTCAGATCCAGACAGTTATCCTGCAGATGGTTGGTCAGGGAAATGTCTTAGCAGCTGGGGACCTACGGAGCCAGCTACGTGATTTGCATTCACTTGACACTGTGATTTTCAGAAGGTTGGTTGGGAAATGCACTTAGCAGGCTGAGCCCAGAGCCTCCCCAGAGGGAACACTGAGAAGTGAGAGGCCCTCGCCTTGCTTGGTGGTAATGGGGAAGCTGTGTTCATCAGCCGGCACCAGGGGCCCTGAGGAGAAGGCTGGAAATGGGAGCGCACTGGTGCTCAGCTTCTCCCAGACTGGCGCTCCGGGAGCTCCCCTAGAGAAAGCTCAGGCCAGGAACCTGGAACTCTCTGAATCAGAGGGATTCTTGGGTCCAGTTTAGAGCAAGCGCCTCCCTCATCCTCCCCGCTTTCATCGGCACTGGGTTCTGCAGGATTTAGAAAATTCCTTTTCTTCATTGTACAGACAGCTTCCTTTTTACCGGCTCCCGGCAGCACACCAGCTGCACTGTATACGTTCTCTCACTGACACCTCACAATTACCCTACTGAAGAGGATTCTGTTATCACCCCATTCTAGAGATGAAATAACTGAGGTTCAATGAGGCTGAGATTTGCCCAAACCGCAGAGCCAGTTTGTGACAGAGCGGGGATGAATACTCAGGTCTGCTGAACTTGAAGCCTACAGAGTGGGGAAGCACTGACAAACACACAAGCAAAGATCAACCCTTCCTCTACCCGAGGAAATCTTCCCACTGTGGCTGATGAGTCACTGAAAGCACAAGAAAGTCTTGTACCTTCTGCTCCTTTTTTCTTTTTTTCTCTGTTTGAATGCTGGGGATGGAACTCAGAGCCTTGCACAAAATAGACAAGTGCTTTGCCACCAAACGACACCCCAATCCCCTCTACTCTTTCTGGGGAAGCAAAGGCCGTCAAGGCGAAAGCCCCCTGAGACCTACACATTGCATTCCACCAGCCAGCATGCCGGATTCTGCCTACATAGACCCCACACTGTGGAAGTCACACTTTCTAGTCAAGATTGGCTCTCCATTCCTCAACAGAGAAACTGAGGCAGAAAGGAGGTGGGACAAGGGGAATGGACCTGGGCCTCGGGGACTGGGCTGTGACCGAAGCTCACAGTTTACATCTCCAGTCTCTGAGTCCATGCTGGTCCCACAGCCTGGAGAACTTCAGGACTGTGTCCTTGGTCAGCCAGCATGCAACACCCACTTCCAGCAAGCAGCAAATACCCAGGCGCCCTTCTTGTTGAAGGATGGCAGTTTCCTCTCAAGCCTTTCTGCCCACGTCTGAGCCGGTGGGTACGTGTGAAGCGGGACAAGGTGGGGAAGTTAACAACGCAAGCTGACCCCAGCACTGTCCACAGACACCAGGAAGAGAGCCTCACCTCGAGGGCTGAAAGCACATCCCACTCCTCCCAAACCGACCACTGCTCCCTTGCAGGGGAGGGAAAAAAAAGGTTTGGAAGGTGAGAGAAAGCTGCAGGAGGCGTTTGTGAGGAAGAGCTCAGGCCCCTGAGGATCATACTGAGCTCCTGACCAGATGGTCACTGGGGAAGGGAAGAGAGGACTGACCCGCCGACCCAGAGCCAGTGCCCACTGCGTGTCCAGAAACCCAGGGCTCTCCGCTGGCCACCACTGCCCAGAGGGACGTGCCCAAAGCCACTCTGGAGGTCCCTTCCCGCTGGGGTTTCAGAGGTTTGAGAAAAAAAAAAAAACCAGCAGTCATATTTTCACATTCTCACACAAAACGACGGTATGGGACACGCACACACCGGCAGAGATCCCGACAGACGACTAGTGCCCCGAAGGGTTGCTGCAGACACACAGCCCTGTCCTGTTCCGGTTTCCTCCCAGGGCCCACACTCAGCCGTCTCCCTCCAACCCCCAAGACACTGAGAGCCTCTCCCCCCGGTTTCGTGTGAGGACCACGCACGTCCTGTCACAAACAACACACTCCCAGTGACAGACACAAAACTGTTGCCAAACTGTCCCACAGCCCTGACGAGGAAGCGAGGGGACGCCAACATGATGGAGTGTTGGTTAGGCTAGCTCAAGCACGATCACACACCACAGCCGAGACACATTCCTGCGTCCCCTCTCAAAGGAAGGGGCCTTCCCGCGGGGACCCAGGCAACCTACTGGTGGTATGGGGCCCAAAGAGCCCGGGGTCCAGGTGCCAAATCCGTGCTCCCCACCCGCACCTCGGGGTCCAGACCCGCGGCGTCGGCCCGCAGCGGACTCACCGGACGATGCCAAACATGACGAGCACGTTGCCCAGCAGCCCCACGGCGCACACGGCCGAGTAGAGCGCGGTGATGGCGATAGCCAGGGCGAGGGACGACGCGCTCCGTGCCCCCGGCGGCCCCGACGCATTGGCGCCCACGCTGGGGAAGGTGCTGGGGTAGGCATCCGAGGCGTTGGGGAGGAACGGGGGCTGCAGCTCGGAGCCCGCAGAAGGGGCCGGCTCCATGGCGGCCAGCGCCGCGTCCCTCTCCACCGTGCGCCCTGGGCGCAGGGACCGGAGCGAGAGGCGCTCGAAGGGCCGAGCTGCGGCCCCGACGCCGCCGCCGGCAGCGTTCAGGCCGCCGGGCTTTGTCCGCGCTCCTCCCCCTGCCCTGTCGCCCGCACCGGCCTTGCCCACAGCGACCGCCCGCTCTCCAAGCCCGAGCAGTGTGAGCCAGGAGCCGCTGCGGGCTCCTCGGACGCGCCCGCCGCGCGCACCACGTGGTCCGGAGGCGGCCTCCCGTCTGCGCCCGCGACCGGGGGCGGGCGCTGCACCACCGGCTTGGAGCGGGGCCAGGGAGCCACCCGCTCCTTCCCTGGTTCTGCCGTGCGGGCTCGAAAGCGCCCCCATCCCAATCTGGACTCACCTTCCCGCCCCCTTGCTCCTTTGGAGTCAGAGGACTCCGAATGTGAATCCCGCCTCCCGCCTCCCGCCTCCCGCCTCCCGCCTGCCGCCTCCTAATGAGCAGAGTAACCTTGAGCAAGGCAATGCATGCTGCGTTTCCCCGCGAGGAAAACATCTCCACCTCCCTCCGAGGGTTACTGGGGAGGTTTAGATAATGCGAGTCAAGAACTCGGCTGCCTTCCCCTGTTCGCACTGTCCCGGTGCGTGTGTACCTGCTCTTTACCAGGTTTTCTCACAGGACTTTCAGAATCAGGCAGTGCCTGGCCAAGATCCAAAAGCAAAATTGTCCCATTTCCCCAACGGATTCGGATAAACTGGTGACAAAGTCAGGATCTACTCTAAGAGGAGAGCCTGGGGGAGAACCAAGCTGGGTCTATGAGGAATAATCGCACAGGAGGTGGCGCACGGAGTTCTGCGGTGCCAAGGTCACTTCCGGTTCACCATACCTAGCTCAGAAAGAGGCCACCCCTGTCTGCACAGCGGGACGTGTTTTATTGAGAATCAGACTTTCTCATTTGTTTCTAAGCTCAGGACTGTTAGGCTGGTTCAGTAATAAATATGGTAAACCTAAAACACTCCCCTAAAGAAAAAAAGCTGTGTATATAGTAAGTGCTCTATAAAGATCCATTAGCCATGCTTTTTTGCTCCCCATTCGTTCACTCCACAAATACTCACGGTGCCTAATGTGAAAGCCAGGTCCTACTGGGCCCACTGGTGCTCAAAACCTGATGACGGTTTGGGGGTTTGCATCCCCGTAGGGGAGAAAGACATCAGTTCTAAAATCACACTAGGAAATAACAGTTCAAGTTTTGGAAAGGGGCAGGGTCTATGCAACCCAGAGGTCAGGACAGTTTCCCGAGGAAATGACACCTAAGGTTAGGTATGAAGCTGGAGAGGGACCAACTTAGAGAAGAAACAAGGAAAGAAGTGTTCCAGAGGAAGGGACCACATCTGCAAGGATGTGTGATCCAAGAGGCGGGAGGAAGCCAGAGAGAGGAGACAGCACGTGTGGAGGGAGAACAGGATGGAGCACGGTCATGAAGGCCACCTTAAGACCACTCTGGCTGCCTAGGAGCACATGGAAGGGCAGCTTGGCTAACTTATCCTCCTCATAACCTGTCCTTGACCTGAGCAGGCCAGAACCACAGCCAGATCACTGGGGTGCCCAGCTGGTCCAGAGCATCGTCTCTACCAAGCTTGGCTTTCCCCCAGGCACTGTGATAAATACTTTGTCCAAGCATCAACACTTTGGAGTAGATCCTATTACGACTGTCGAATTTCTCAGGCAAGAAAATTGCCACTTGGCACTGTGTGGTAACTATTTCTATCTGAACTTGAAAAAACTCCTTCTTGGAAAAGCCAGGCCTGATAGGTCCCTGTACCCAGGGGAGGGCTAGGGTCAGAGTGGGTGTGTCTTGGTTACTTTCCTCTCCTTGCTGAGACAAAATACCTGATGCCCAAAATTAAGGAAGGAAAGGTTTATTTAGTTCACAGTTTGTGGAGGTTTCAGTCCATGTTGGCTGGCTCCAAGGCAGAGTGGCACACAGCAGTGGGCAACAGTTCATGGCTGTGGAAAACAGCAAAAGCAACAGCAGCAAAAGGGAGGAGCTGTGGTAAGCAGCCTCTTTTCCTCCCTTACACTGTATGCAAACTACCTGCCCCAGGGCAGGTGTAGTGCTCACATCCATCATTCCAACATTGGACCGTGAATCAATCATAAACCCTAGAAGCCCTCCCCATGACTGTATGTAGCTTTGGGGGAACATCCAGACGCAAACCATAACAGGGTGCTAAAGGAATGTTGTTTGAATGGCAAAGATCCTAAAGGGGATGGGGGTGGGGCAACACTGGGGTTCCCAAGGTCTTGCTCTGAGGCAATGCGCTTGCTCTTTGAGGGGCTAGACAAGCACCTCTAATTCACATCACACTCTGGCATGTCACCTATCGAGGCTCTTACACTTTCCCAGAAAGAGCAAAGCCAGAATTTCCAGGCTCCCCCTTCTGACCATCCTTTCCATCCTCCTCAGCACCTGTTCGAGCCCTTCCACCAGCTCCGGCAAACCCCACCCCAACTCAAAGGCTTTCCCATGCAACTGTCTCAGACCTAAGAGCTTTGCTGTGGTCACAAGCCCATATGACTGTCCCCCATGTTCCAAAAGGCCTGGTGTACTTGGAGATTGTTCTATTGCCAGGGATAGGAAATTTGGACAGGGAGGAGAATGGCAACTTTGTTGGAATTCTGGCCCCCTTCCTACCCTCCAACAAGAAGTGTTTTCCTACCTCAGGACATTTGCACATCTATTCCTTCCATTTGGAAGGCCCAGCTGCTTCCCCAGAAATGCTATCGATATTTATCCCTGAAATTTCAGCTTAAATATCAATTCCTCCTAAAACCTTTACTGACCATATAGAGCCCTTCCCAGTCCTCACTGAGACACAGGAAATTTACATTTGTCATCCCATGAAGAGTTATTGGAATTCTAGTGAGTTAATTCTAAACTACCACTTTCAGTGCAATCCATGGTGAGAATAAAGACACTAAGGCATATTTGTAGTTACGGGGAGCCAAGGGGTCCTAAGTCCAGCCATGATGATGGCCATCCAGAACAAAGGCCTGTACCCAGGACCGAACCCAGGTTTTATTCATTTGTGAAGAAGGGAGTGGCTTGAGGATGAGAGACTGTGCAAGTGGCGGGAAATATGTGAGCGCCATGAGCTGGGCTAGGGAGGAGGCCTGACATCATCTCTGCCATATGCAGAGAGAAGGACATGCAGAAAGCGTAATCCGCATAACACAATGGAGGTAGTGTCTAATGTTTTGGGGTCGGTGCTTCAGCTCTGATGTGCAATCTTTGAAGCCCCAGGAAGTCATAGCCTCTATCCCAAGGCTCGATCCCAGCCAACATCCTGGATCAATGGCTCTATGTCCCACCTCATCCTGGCTCGCATGTGGAACAACAGGGGGTCCAGGGAAACATGCCTGCCATCTCCAAAGATTACCATCAGCACCTGGGCTAGACCGATATGCATTGTTTAAAGCCAGTTGAAGGGACAAGGAAAAATCTTAGCCAGCTCTGTACATATCATGGAAATAGGGTCAGGCTCAGTCAAAATGCAGACAATTGGTCCTCTTTCAAGGAGAGTCACCCACCTGGTCCTCCACAACTGACCCCCATCATACTACCTCCAACTAAGCCACATTGCTTGTTATCTGTTCTCCTAGCATCATGCACCATAATTCCCACATGTTGCTTTGTGTCAGGACTTGAGTTTGTGCATCACTTTTACAACTGCTCCTGTGCACCTCTGAACCCCTAACTTGCTACAGCCCCTGTTCAGTTGATGAGCAACTAAATAAAGAAACTCAGTTTGAACCTGGGTAGACTCACATTTTGATGAAGGAGACAGAGCAAGTATAGCCCAATAGAGACCTGAAAATTCTTATATGCTAATAAAGCCCTTTGCATAATATGAAGTGTCATTGAAAAAATATGCTGTGTATATGTCTAAGCCATTTTTCTTTTGCTGGGACAAAATACCCAACACCCCAAGTTAAAGGAGAAAAGGTTTATTTTAGCTCACAGTTTGTAGAGGTTCAGTCCACAGTCAGCTGGCTCCAAGGCAGGATAGCACGGCAGAGGAGCATTGCAGAGGAGAAACAGTTCATAGCAAGCAGGCAGGTGACAGCAAAGCAGAAAACAACAGCAACAAGCCTGCCTTTCCTCTTTCCCGTTATATTCCATCCAGGATATAAACCTACTGATTGGTGCCATTATCCACACCCAGAACTATGCTAATTCCAATCAGTGGACTAATTTAGTACCACACACCCTTAATCCCAGTATCACACACTTCATCCACATTCACACACCTATGATCCAGTCACCTCCAAAAAACCCCACCTATGAGCACATGAGGCTTTGAGGGACATCTAGGTACAAGCCACAACAATGTTTAAATTTTTAAAATTTATAACAGTAAAAGACACATAGTCATTAATCCCCCTCCAAATACTCCCGTCACTTCACAGACATTTATCTCATCTTTCTTGCCACTTTTTAAAGCAGTTCCAACTGGGTGTGGTAGTGCACATCTGTAATCCCAGCACTTGGGAGGCTGAGGCAGGAGGATATCCATGAGCTTGAATCCAGCCTGGGCTACATAGTGAGTTCAAGGCCAGCCTGAACAACATATGAGACCCTGTCTCAGAAAATAAATAAATAAATAAATAAATAAATAGAACAGTTCCAGAAGTCCTCTTTCATGAGCATCTTCAGCTGTGCCATTGTGACTGCCTTGATATCTTTTTTTTTTTTTTTTTTTTTGCCTTGATATCTTGAATCACTTAAGAAATATTTACCTTTCACTGTCATTTTAACTTTGGGGAAGTACCAGAAGTTTCACCAAGTCTTGTGAATAAGGTGGATGAGGGCACAGCGTAATGTTCCTATGAGCCTGCCTTTCTGGTGGATGGTACTCAGCAGGAGCATTCACTGTATTTTGATCATCCCATAAAGATATTCACGAAAGGGGACTTCCAGAATTGCTTCAGAAGTGTCAGGGATGATGGGATGAGTGTTCAGGGCAAGAGGGAATATTTTAAAGGGAATTAATGCCAATGTGTCTTCTACAGGTAAGAAGTTTTAAAAATTCTAATATTCACTGTGTATTTGGATCACCCCTAGTAGATTCTCTATCACATTTTGTTTGGAAATGAAATGTTAATTCCCACCCCCACTGCCTCCTACACCTTGGCTGTCGGTGATCACCCAGCGAGTCTGCCATTTTTCCTT